CTGGCCTTGAACTTGTGGGGATCTTTATCTTTCTGCTGCAGCCCCCGCCCTGTACTAGGATTATAGATTGGCATGTACCCCCATGCCAGTCTCTCTTTATTTATTCTTTAGAATTTTCTAATATAAAATATCATGTTATTTGAGAATGACAGGTTTTATTTTTTCCTTTCCAAACTAGATTCCTTGAATTTTTTGGTCTGATTAAATTGAGTGGCTAAACCATCCAATAGAAGTGATAGAGAGGAGAAAGCATTTAGTACTTCACCATTAAATACAATGTTAGCTGTAAGATCTGACAGACAGCTTTTATTAGGTTTAAGGAAGTTTCTAGTTTTTGTTCTTTGATAATTTTTGTTTTATTTTGTTTGCCTTTAAGTCAGGGTCTCACTGTGCAGTCCAAGCTGGCCTTGAATATATTATGCCCTTAAACTTGCCACAATCCTCCTGCTTCAGCCTCCATGCTGGGATTATAGGAATAGCATAACTGGCATGTTTCCTGATAAATTTTGAAGTATAAGTAAATGATAAATTTTGCAAAATACTTTTCTTGCTTTTACTGTGAACTTGATTTTATTAACATGGTATATTATAAGAATTTGGCTGGGCGTGGTGGCACATATCTGTAATCCCAGTACTCAGGAGGATCTCTGCAAGTTCGAGGCCAGCCTGGGCTACATATTGAACTCAAGGCCAGCCTGAACTACACAGTGAGACACTGTTGGAAAAAAAAAAAAAAAATTGGCCAGCTATCAGGAGGCTGAAGCAAAAGAATCACCATGAGCTCAAGACCAGCTTAAGTTACACAGTGACTGCCCAATGCCACAGTCATGCATGTACCACTTGTCATTCAAACTAGTGAAAACATATTAAACAACACATATTTTTCCTCAAAGTTTTGGAAACTGAAGCCCAAGATCAAAGTTCCAGTCAATTCTGGTGAAGTTACCTGAACACAAATGGAACAATATCGTGACAGCTGTTCTGTAACTGAGGTAACAACTAACTGACTAACAAGCAGGTAGTACAGATAGTATGGCTGTGGTGACAAAGGGAAGAGTCACATCCTAGGAAGGACAGAACAGAATAGGAAGAGATTTCATCCCACTGCTTAGAACAGCTTGTAACTAAAACTTAACGGGTTATGTCTGAAAGTCTGCATTTAATAAATTCAGGTTACAGTAGTGACTGGTTGATAACTGATGCTGCAGATAAGGGGAGACTATTTGCAGCATTACTGAAGGAGACATAGAAGTTCCACTCACATAAACAGGTATGAAAGCATGTAAAATAGCATATTCAAAAATACAGTAGCCTCCCCAGGTGTGGTGGCGTGTATCTGTAATAACAGTAATTGAAAGGCTGAGAAGGGCTGGGGATTCAGCTCAGTGGCATAAATGCCTGCCTGGCAAGTGTGAGGTCATGAGTTCAACTCTCGGTACCACAAAAAAAAAAAAAAAAGAAAGGCTGAAGCAGGAAGGTTGCGGGGAGTTCGAGGCTAGCCTGAATTACACAGTGAAACCTTATCTCAAAAAACCAAAAAAACCACATCAAAAGTACAGCAGCTTCAAAGAGCTGGAGAGAGGGATAATAGCTTAGTGATAGTGGTAGAGTGCTTACCACTCCACTCACACACAAGGTCTTGGGTTCAGTCCTTACAACTACACATACAAACATGACAAATCGTGACACAAATTATCCAATTAAACACGTAAAAAATGTAAAAAAAATGTAAAAATCATAGTCATAGTCATCACATTGTGATTACTTTTGCTTAAAGTCACTTTACAATACTTTTGATAGATGAATAAATTATTTGATTAAATGTTAATTGTGTAATTTCTCCACAGTAAAGGTTCCATAAGAACAAGAGTTAGTCTATTTGTTCACTGTTGTGTAGTCAGAAGATAGGCTAGTATCCAGCATAAAATAAAAACTATAGCAAATAAAAAATAATTAAAGAATTGGGAATGATAAATACAAAAGAAGATAAGATTTAACATAATTAGGGGATGGCTTTTGACAGCAATATACTGGCATACAGAGAGAATAATTATAAATACAGTTACATGTGCACAGCAAAAAAGAATACTTCTGTCTGATAATTTCCATGTCTCTCAGAAGCATGGTCTTCAAATAAGGGTCAGGGAGGAGAGGTACTAGTGGTTAAAGCCAGGTACAAGCAGTATAGAGTAAGTATGACACTGAAACACAAAATAAGTGTGCTTGGTAAAATTTTCAACCTAGTTGGTACTAGTGACACTAACATATTCATAAAGAGATGACTGGATTCAATTATAACATGGAATTTTTCGGGCAGATGTAACTGAACCAAAGAGGACATTAATTATTTTCCCATGCTGTCTAAACTAGAAAAAGAAGAAAGTAAAATGGAAGGTCCAGGACCTGATGTTTACAAATAATAAGGATGAATTAATGGATTTGAGGCTTTGAAGTAAACTGTTGGAGGAAAAACTATTATGCTAAGAGTATCTTGAATAAAAAATTTAGAAAGATAGAAAATTGGCCTCTAAGGGGCTGGGGATTTAGCTCAGCGGCATAAGCGCCTGCCTGGCAAGCAGGCAGTTGTGAGTTCGATCCCCAGTACCGATAAAAAAGGAAAAAAAAAAAAGTGTAAAAAAAAAAAAAAAAAAAAAGAAAGAAAGAAAATTGGCCTCTAAGGAAACATATGAACCAATGACTTTTGGAGAAGGTTGAGATCATAGAAAAAAAGAGGCAAGCAGATCTTCTATAACATGACCATTATAAAACATGACCATTGCCTAAAAAATTTAGTAATTGGTCCCAAACCACCCAAGTATTAAATGCCAGAACTAAGATGCAAATAAACCTTTAACTCTAAGGCTCATTATACAACCTTGATAGAAAAAAATGCCCACATTTTTCATGAACAAAGAGTCAATTCTGAAAGCATATTCTTGAAATAAATATTTCAAACATGGAAAAATACATACTAAAAAAGGAGTCCAAGAGTCTGAGGTACAGCGCTTGCCTGGCAAGCATGAGGCCCTCAATTTGATTCCTGGTACCAAAAAAAGGGACTCTAATTACATTTATCCTAAAAGCTTTCTGAAAATTAGAAAAGTTTGATAATTGAGACACTAAGAGTATTATTAAAGTATTATTAAAGTATTATTACTAAAGTGATACTTAACAACAACAGAAATTAATAATTCTTTGAAGTAAACTGACCAACAATCAGACTAACATTTGACTAGTAAGGCAAAATAACTGAAATAAAGTTTCTATGCTAACTATATAGTAATACAGATTCAAAATGGTTAAGCAGACTAACAATACCTTTTCAAAAAATTTAAAAAATATTTTAGAAATATGGAAGGTTTACAATATACTTAGAGGGTCAGTATGAATGCTTATTTTTAAAATTATTAATTTATGCTTTTTAGTTTCTTTTTGTTTTCTTTTATAATTAAGCAGTTGCAAGAACTGCCACCCATGTCTTGTTTCTAATCTTATAGCTTCTCATCGTTAAGTATGATGTTCGTTACAGCATTTTCACAGATGATATTTTATCATGTTGAGAAAGTTCCTCTCCAAATTTGCTGGTGGTGTCAGTTTAAATTAACACATAGTTAACTGTAGAAGTTTATGAGTTATAGCCTAACATTTTGGTACATGTTTATATAATGATTATTTCAGTTATTAGCTTCTCAATCACCTCAAACATCTACCATTTGTCAGTGGTAAAACATTAAGACATTAAATAACCTAAAATTTCACATATTTAGCACATCTTTGAAACGACCCTAATACTTCTTATGTAGTTCTCCTGTGGCATGGCATATTTCATTCTCCTGGGATCTGTGAGTGTAATGAAACCTTTTTTTTTTTTTTTTGGTATCTTTGAGACAGTTTCACTATGCAGTTCAGGCTGGCCTTGAAATCATTTTGTGGCCCAGGCTGGACTCAAAATCATAGCAATCCTCCTGCCTCAGCCTCCTGAATGCTGAGATTACAAGAGTGCAACACCAAGTCTGGCATCAAAATATCTTTCCAATGGCAATCATTTGATGTACAGTATTTACTGGGCTCACCATACCCTGAATAATAAAAAAAACTACATTTTACAGTAGCCCTTTCCTTCTCTGTTTGGACTTCAGTTTGTTTTTCTGGTTTCTTAGGATGGAAAGTTAGCTTATTTACTTAGTATCTTTCTTCTTTGCTATATAGCACTAGTTTAGCTATATCCTATAAAGTTTGGTGTACTGTACTTTGTTTTTTATTCATCTCCAAGTATTTTCCAATTTCTTATGTGATTCTTTGCCACTTATTACATAGGAGCAGACTGTTTAGTTCTGTTAGTCAACTTCTCACAATTTCTTCTCTGAATGATTTCTAATTTTATTACTTACTTATTCTTCATTTTTTGAGAGAGGGTCTCACTGTTTAGTTTATTTTGGCCTTGAACTCACTATGTAGCCCAGGTTGATCTTGAATTCTCAGCAATCCTCCTTCCTCAGCCTCCCAAGTGTTAGGATTACAGAAATGCATCATCGTGATTCACTTATTCTTGACTTGAAGTTACAGAATCCTATATTTGGTTGAATTTTCTGTAAGAGAATACCTACCATCAATTCTAGTAACTTCCCAAATCATAGTAAGACAATTTTTCAATAAATGTTGGAAAAGAAGACTAATGAGATGGTACATGCCTGTAATCCTAACACTCAGGAAGCTGAGGCAAGAGAATCACCATGAATTCAAAGCCATTCTGGGGTACATAGGGAGTTCAAGGCCAGCCTGAATTACATAACAAGATTCTGTCTCAAAAAACAAAAGGCTAATTAAATAAGTTTGAGGATTGAGGGCAAAAAGTCTTTGTATTTTGTATTAATATAGCACCTTACAGATCATAGAAAGTATTTTTACATTCATGACTGCATTTAAATGCATGTTTAAAATATCTCAAATATTATTTTAATGCAAAATAGATAACGGATACAGTAGCAAAAATAAAATACCTGATAGGTGTTGTCAAAACTGTCATACATGAATCTGGTGATCAAGGATGTCTTTCCAACTGAAAAGAAAAAAAAAGAAACTTACTCAGTGAACGTATTACACTAGGTTCTTAGGCAACTGTTCTATAGAACTGCAATTAAAAGGACAACATCTATAGTGGTTCTAACAATAATTAAAAACTATACAGTCCCAAGCTTATTAACATGACTTTCTCTAATCATAAACAATCTCTTCACATTAAGAACACAGGTAAAGAGTATTTAGTTAAGATGAGGAAAATGGAGAGACAAGGAAAAAAGCAATCAACTATGTTGACTGTAAAAAGCCAAGCAGGCATTTACTTGGGCCCTAACAAAAAGAACTCATCTAAGTTCAGATCCATTTCATTTAGTCAATCAAAGTATAATTCCTAAGAGTAGAAAGATATAAAAGAGTCAGTCCTAAGAAGAGTATGAGGGCTGTAAGAACTAGACTGTTGGAAGAGTTAGAAAGTAGTGACAGGAGGGGCTGTTATAAAATTTATTCCAGAATTATACTTCTTCCCTTCATTAGTAGGGAAACTCCAAAGATCCACACTTCTACTTTGTGTTGGTAGTTTTCAGCAAGTACCACTAGGTTAATCATAAAGAATGCTGGCAATTTCCTTACTTACAAGTACAGTCTCCTAGAGCAAAACAACACCTAATTATTTTTCTATTTCACCAGTAGTTTGGCAGATTCAATAAATACTAAACAAATGTATGAGATTCTATTGCTCCCCAGTACAAAAAAAGAAAGGACCTAAGTAAGCCCAGTTTAGTGGCACTCCTACAAATTTCAGCCCTTGGGGCTGGGGATTTAGCTCAGCGGCATAAGTACCTGTCTTGCAAGTAGGCGGTCATGAGTTCAATCCCAGGTACCGATTAAAAAAAAAAAAAAACAACAACAAATTTCAGCACTTGGAAAGATAAAACAGGAGTATCAACTAAGTTTGAGGCCAGCCTGAACTACATAGTGATACCTTGTCTCCAAAAAAAAAGTACAAATTCGTAAGAGGCTACAACACTCAATCTCAGAAACGACTCTGAAATTATAGGAATCAAGAAGTGTGGTATAGTGCCAGGGACATAGCTCAGTGACAAAGCACCTGCCTGACAAGTACAAGGTCATGAGTTCAATTCCCAGTACTAAAAAATAAAAATTAAAAAAATAAATAAAAGAAGTGTGGTACTGCCTAACAACAGAAAAACAGATCAATGGAACAGAACAGGGCCCAGAAATAGTCTCTAGACAGCTGAATAGATATCTCTATTCCTCTTGCATCAAAATTCTATTCGTCTACTTCATTTCTTTCCAAAAAGTACCAGCAAACAGGTAATTTACATCTTTTCTTCCACATTAGCACCTCAGGGATAATATTAAGATTTTAAAATTTTAAAACTATGACACAGAACTTTTTTTTTTTTTTTTTTTTTTTTTTGGTACCCAGGATTGAACTCACAACTTTGCGATTGCCAGGCAGGTGCTTACACCACTGAGCTAAATCCCCAACCCCACAGAAAGTATTTCAGATAATACATATTTTATCCTAATCCTTAAACCCTTTCTAGAATTGTTAAGGCAGAAATTTATTTTTTCCTGCCAACTTCTGTTTAAAGAAGAGCTTTAATTTTGGTAGATAAAAGTAGCACTATGATGGTAGATAAAAGTAGCTACACAGTTAATCTGAACAAGTGAGCTGGGAATGGTAGCACATGCCTGTAATCCCAGCACTAGGGAAGCTGAAGTAGGAGGATCCTTGCGAATTCAAGGCCATCCTGGACTACAAAGTGAGTTCAAGGCCAACCTTGAACTACATAGTGAAACTCTCTCTCAAAAAGACAAAACACCACCACCAACAAAAAAACTTAACAAGTGAAGTTTTCTCACTGATACCATATGAAAGACATGTTTGCATGTATGTATGTATGTATGTATGTATGTATGTATGTATTTGTACTGGAGATCAAACTTGCACTTGTCAGGCAGGTACTGTGTTACTAAATTATATCCCCAGGGCAGGAAAGACAATTTTAATGACATCTCAACTTGTTTCTACTTCCTTATTATTGCAGCCTTTTCAAAAACACTCTTCTTGTTGACAAAAGTGGGTGCAGATTTAAAGATCATATCTTAATTGTGAGTCATACCTTTGAAATGTTAGTAAGAACTAAGGCCTAGGTAAGTTTATTTTAGAAAAATATTTAAGAATTTAGTAAAGTACAGATAACATGTTTTTATAATAATCTTTAATGAGGAGTGTCAATGAAGTAGGCAAAAATTTTAAAATTATCTAAAATATCAAAAGGTATACTTGAGGGGTGTGTGGGGGTCCCATTTATGGTTAACTCAGGGTTCTTCTTTTCACTAAAATATTTATGCTATCCCAGATACTGCATAACAGTTTTCTGTCTTATAGCCATTGGAGCCTTAAGTTTTAGGCATTTCAGATTTATAATATACTTCCTCATAAAGAGGTCATTAAAAAAAAAAAAAAAGCAAAACCTACAATCCCAGTCAAATCTTAAGAAAAAAATATCAGACAAGACTAAAGATGTAGACCAGGGAAGACCACTTACCTAGCATGTGCTAAGGCCTTGGGTCTGCACCCCAGTACCACTATCAAAAAAACAAACAAATAAAAAAAAAACAGATAAATTGCAATAAATATCCTATTAAAAAACTGGCCATTACTCCTCAAAACTGTCAAGGGCATTAGAAACAGTAAAAGTGACTTGAGAAATTGTCAGAGTCAAGAGGAGCCTAAGAAAACAAACTGATTCAATATAATAAAGTATCTGTGAAGATCTTAGAAAAATGATATTAAGTTAAACTAAAGAAAACAATAAAGTATGGATTTTACTTAATATATAACTCTAGATAAAGAATTATAAAATATACTATATTAATGAAAGATATTTTTACAAATAGAAGATACTAGGTGCCAGTCTATACTGTAATGGCAATTTTAAATGTGAAGACAATTTTAAACTCACAGCCAGACATCATTCAAGGATGGACTGGGAGGCGTAGCCTGTTCCCATAATTAGAAAACAGCAAAAATCCCTAACCTTGACATCCCCCATGCCAGCTGCAGCTTGTAAGATAAGTGTAACTCAGCCAGACAGTACATCTTGTTATACTAGCTTTCTTTCTTTTTTTTTTACTTTTTTTTTTTGTCTTTCTTTTTTTTTATTGGTACCAGGGATTGAACACACGACTACACACTTGCCAGGCAAGCGCTTACGCTGCTGAGCTAAATCCCCAGCCCTATACTAGCTTGCTTTCAAATTTTCAAGAACTTATCACCTAGAGACAAGCCCAGGTCAGCTAAGACAATGATTGATTCTTCCTACTTAGCAGAGCCTGGTCCTTCCTGCCATACAACAGTATCCCCCCAATTAGCTCACTCTGCCTAGCAACATAGGACAAAATGTGGAACCAACTATAAAATAGCCTGTTACCTTCCTTTTATACCTCCTTCTGAAAAACCTATATAAGTAACTGTTTTATCCCCAAAATAAGGGCTGGTGATTTGGTACTGAGATTCCAACCAGCCTGCTAGTGTAATAAAGTTGTCTGCCTTCCAAAGTGCCTCCAGTGCTGTCTTCCATCTAGTTGAGTCCTGCATGTGTTAACAATGGGAGCCGTACTAGCTCAATTCTACAAATCTAAAGCAACTTAAAAAACTAAGCTTATTTAAAAATTCAATATTCATACACCTTTAAACAAAACAAAACAAAATAAATACAGTAGGTAGGTTAGTGGTTTCCTAAGGCCAAAATAAAATGAAATAATTTTTAGGGATCAGGCCAGGGATTTAGCTCAGCGGTGTAAACACCTGCCTGGCAAGCACAAGCTTGTGGTTCAATCCCCAGTACCAAAAATATATATATATATATTTTTAGGGATCATGCAAATTCTAGTTATCTTGTGATAAAATCACAGAATTGCACACTTTAGGCAAATGTAGTTCATTATATGTGAGTTATTGCTCCAAAAAATTAACAAGAAAAAAATAGCATCACAAAACAACCTCCAGCCAGGCATAGTAGTGCACTCCTGTAATCCCAGCAAGTAGGAAACTGAGGTAGGAGGATCATCGCAAGTTCAAGACCAACCTGAGCTACCAAGTGAGTTCCATGCCAGCCTATACTGCACAGTGAGACCCTGTCACAAAAAACAACACAACAAAAACAGCCATCTCAATAAAAAATATAACACTGGGGGCTGGGGATTTAGCTCAGCGGTATAAGCACCTGCCTTGCAAGCAGGGGGTCGTGAGTTTGATCCCCAGTACCAATAAAAATGAAAAAGACCAAAAAAAAAAAAGAAATATAACACTGATTTCATTTAAATAAAGTTTCAATTCACCAATATTCAGAATTCTGAAAAATATAACTTCAGGTCAGTGAACTCAGCTTGATTTTCTGAGCCCAATGTCACAATGAGGGGAAAAATATTTTCTTTTTTTGAGGCACTAAAGCTTAAACTCAGGGACTCAGCACTGAGCAACACATCCCTAGCCCATTTTTATCTTTCATTCTAAAACAGGCTCTTATAGCCCAGTAAGGTCACCAGCTGAGCTCAGACTTACAACCCTCCTGCCTCACCCTCCCAGAGTGCTAGAATTATGTGTGCACCAACATACATGGCTGAGAAATACATTTTAAGTCGCATATAAGGGCACAATTACATACATTAAAAAGTTTTATTACTAGGGACAATATATTCTGTTATTTTTCACTGTATAAATTACTAACTGATATAGTTACTGTTAGAACAGTAAGATTTCTGGGACTAGTTTTAAAATATCATGAGCATCAGAGTCTACTTCCTAAACTCAAGAGAAAAGAGGGCAGTAAGTATTTCACTATTAAGTATGATGTTACCTGTACTAGGTTTAGGGGAAGCTGGTAAATATTCTTTATCAGATTTAGAAATTTCACTTTGAGTTTTTTGGTATTAGAAATGGAACCCAGGGCCTTTGCACTAAGCTACATCCCCAGTGTTTGTATGTTTTATTTTGAGACAAGGTCT